CACGTGACGTCGCCTCCGCGCCGCGCTCACCACCGTCACCAATATGGCTGCCGCCTGTCATTCCGCTACACCACACCACAATTGGATCACAAAGAGACAAAGGATTAGCTGAGGCCAGCGTGGTCCAATATGTCTTCGCGTTAAAGACTTCGCCCTGGAGAATACCCGAGCCCTAGTATGAATGAGACTGGTACAACATAACAGGCTTTATTGACCAATCACGAGCTAAAGCCACAAGTCAAGCACTTCCATCCGAGCGCAGAGAGACAAAAGATTGGCTGAAGCCAGTGTCTAATATGTCTGCGCCCTGATCCGCCGCCACACCACATTACACTTGATCAATCGTGCGTGATTATGTTCGTTAATGTGGTTTTTCATAAATTATTAAATAAAATTTTGTCCGTAGTTGTAAATCATTCTTAGTAACTTTCACCTTTAGATGCAATTTGCCTTATTGGTTCGGCCAATTGTTCTTTTCACATTATGTCGAATTGGGAGTTTTTTGAATATTATGCAATATTCGAAACTGACTATACAAATGCGACCTTGGTTCATGCTAATCTATCCTCTTAATCATTTTTTGCTCGATTGGTTGCAATCAGAATAAGTGCAAAAAAGCTGCGGTAATCAATCCTTTAGTGAAGGTATGGGTGGCTAAATGGACCTGAAAAGTCGTTTTTTGTAGTTTATTTGTGCTCCCTTGGAAACTTGGGCTAAGCCAAATAAAATATTTGTAATCCCTGCACACGGATTTCTCGCTGTTTGCCCTCGGTAGCATATTAGTGTTGGAGCTAAGAATTGGGTCCGAATTTATGTAGTCTGTTTGGTAACAAAGTGATGCTAGCATCTTTTTTAAGGCTTTGTTTTTAGTATTGTGGGTGTAAGGAAAAAAGTAATACAGATCGCTTGGCCATTGTGGAGTCAAGAATAAATACGTGAAAGCTAGGGGTACATTACATGTACCTATGGGAATAATCAGTTAATACCTTGGTACCCTGTGGAGGGCCGTGTCGTGCGATTCTAACTAAATCAGGATACTAAGGCAACTGTTATGTCCTGCTTCATGTTTGGATCCATCTTAGTAGAATCTTTGCTTATTAGAAAAGTGTTTTAATGTCATAGGGGTCAGAAATGTCGACTACGCTATTCGTCAGTCCTGTCACTTTTCTCCTTCACATGTATTTTAGTTGTTTTCGGGATCTGTTTCTGGGCGATATTCGTGCTGGTGATTTAGGTGTTTTTCGCCTATCCCGTCATCCGTCATTGCCCTCCATGGACATATTCGTCGACGAAACGCAGAAAAATCGACGATATGAAAAGGTTTGTTATCTCGGTGAGGGTCAGTTTGCCAACGTTTTTCTTGCACGTGACTTGCAAAGAGGTGGCTGTCTCGTTGCAATTAAAAAGGTACGGCTTTTCTTAAGTCGTTAGCTGCCAGAATGTTTGGACTACAATGCTAATTGTTCTCTAATTTTCAGGTTAAGGCCGGTCCACGGTGGGTCCTTGCAGATGGCATGAATCTCTCTGCTATAAGGGAAGTGAAACTCCTTCGAGAAATCGAGCATCCTAATATAATGGGCCTCCAGGACGTTTTTAGTCAGGATTTTGGCATCTGTTTGGTTTTCGAGTTCATGGAGTCCGATCTGGAAGCTGTAATTCAAGACGCCAGCATCGTGCTCACTCCGGCCAACATCAAATCATTAAGTCTTCAGGTAGTTTGGGTTATCTTTATGCCCATGTCCTCTTTATTAGTTGTTGAAAGGAGTTGAGTACTTGCATGCCCAATGGATTCTTCACCGCGACTTGAAGCCAAACAACCTTTTCCTCAGTCCACAGGGGGTTGTAAAAATTGGTGACTTCGGTCTAGCCCGTCACTTCGCGGCGTCACCGAGCAGACCTATGACTCATCAAGTAGCCACCCGTTGGTACCGTGCCCCTGAACTTTTTTACGGATGCACCCAATATGGGGTGGGCATCGATTTGTGGGCGGTTGGTTGCATCATTGCTGAGTTTTTGCTTCGTGTGCCCCTCTTCCCTGCCGATTGTGATCTTTCTCAACTCGCCAAAATTTTTGAGGTATGACGGAGGCATGTATTGTAATTTTCCAGTCTATGTTGTGAAAATCAGCACATTATTCTGACCACCTAGGTCACTGGCACTCCTGACGCGACTGTGTGGCCCGACGTGGCGCGTCTTCAAACCTACTTGACATTCGAACCACGCCCACCAGTGCCGTTTTCGCAGATTTTCACCGCAGCGGGTGACGACTTGATCGCTCTGCTTTACACGCTCCTTTCCTTGGACCCCGACCAGCGAGGCACAGCTACGTCGGCCCTCGCTTCGCCCTACTTCAAAAACCGCCCACTGCCCACTCCCGAGTCACAGCTTCCTAGACCGAAATTAAGCCACTCAGTTGCGGGCACTTTGCAACAGCACCAGCACCAACGCCAAGTTGTAGCACCGTTAGATCCCGTCGCTCTTTTAGACGCTGACGACCTTCCACCAACCCCTCCTATGAAGCGTGCCAGGGCGGTCTAATTCAAAGGCACATTGTATACGTACCAACGCTGTGTATATGTACATATTTCTGGTGAAAGTCACTATGCAAGCAAACGGTGTTCCATAATATATAATATGCAATGTCATAATTTCCATGTGTTTAATCGTTTAAGCGCATAGGAGAGATTTGAATATTCCTTAGGCAGGCGAGTGAAAGCATTCTCACATATTATCACGACGAGTTTGGGAAGTCAACAAAATCGTCCTCAAGCCACATTCTGTTTAGGGTAAGGCCGATGCACACAACTTTCAGGGAGACGTTGTTTTATGTCACTTGCCGGGTCGCACCAATTTATCAGAGGACAATAAGCAACCTCGATCAGAAGACATTTCGATAATGACGAAAACCGGTCAAGGATAAGTACACTGCTGCTTGGAGTCGAGTTCTTCAACTCCCGATTGATAGTGCCGTGATTCAAGAACACCAGCAGTCCACTACATCGGTCGCAGTCACTTGGGACAGTTAAAAAATAGTACGTTGCTCTTGCATGCAGACAACAAAATTGCGACAACAGTGCCAACGCGCCCCAAAAACCCACTGACTGCGAGCATTTGGTAGCCGCACAGCGTCGAAAAGACGCACACGGGGGCGTTCAGGCGGTGTTCGCCTAGTTGCTGTGCGCGAGAGCACCCAGTGGGCAGAGTACACTTCGACAAGACCATCAGGCCAAGCGTCCCCTTTAGCCCCTGGCGAAGAATCACAGATACCGCAAAAGTTCACCCAAACTCGGTGGTGGGCTGCACAACAAAGTTGAGTGTCTCGCGTTTCAACCAAGGTATAAACACACAGAGGATCCGATGCACAATCGTTTGAAGATTTGCTGTCCCACAATGCACCGTCAAAACGGACCGCCGTCTGGGACCCACGAGAGGTTCCACGCTCAAAAAGGACACACACACACGCGCCTCACCGTTCGTCAAATCACCACAAGACGTTCATCCGAGCACTGCTCAATGCCTAAACTGCTACGCTCACCAGCTCAAAAGTACTATCATTTGACTGACAGCTGCGTGGTCTGACGCCTGTAACAATAGATAAGTATCTTCGATGACTAAGAACACTTTGCAATGCAATTCGCCAGTTCCTAGTGGTCCCTTTCGATGTCTTCATTGCCTTTCAACCACCCATGGTGCCCGAAGGTAAAGGGAAAACAAATTAATGCAGACAGCATTTTATTTCCGTGTAGGCTAGTAGTGCGCTTTTTTGTACAATGATAAACTGGGCATTTCTATCAATAAACAAACCCAGAGCAATGTCCGAACTGCTGCGATGGCGAGAACTTGCGTAACATTAGGTGTGTCGTAATCACGCGTTAACAGTCGGCAGCTAACACTGGTGACTAATACAAGAAAGGGGTGGAACTGACCTCGCTCAGTTACCCTCAGACTATCACCTTAGGAGAATCTTCAACATATTTATTGCATAACAAGCAGATGATGGGAAATACAAGTGGGTCGTTTTGTAGAAAATGCTGTACCGTACTTATCAACTTATTTTTAACTATTTTTCGCTCCAAGTATGTTTTTCGGTTACCATTCAATCTGGCCCTAGGATTTAAAGCTTGCCGTTAGTTTGTCTTGAATGTGACATTATGGCTACGCCAACAAACCACCACGGAATAAGAATGCTACTATTTTGGTTCCAACAGTTACGCGAGATCCGTAGGCACAGACAGAGGGTTGCTCGCAATTCTCGAGCAGTTGGAGAAGACGCTGGGAATCTCCCAACACTGTACTCATGTTTCCTGTGCTAAAAGGAAGCAGTGTTGTCTGCAGGGCTATGTCTGCTTTCGCATCCTAAAAAAAAGAGGCAGGATGTTTAAGAATCAATGAGATGAAACCAAGGAAGATTTAATAGGATCTTGGTACAGTTTTGTGTTAGAAACAAGAAAGCACTAGAGAAGGAATAAATAAACAGTCTAACGGTGGGGGAGTACGGCAACAGCTCTTCTCATGGACCAGTACTATTCATGCCTTAAACCTCATTCTAATAAGCTAAAAATATTTGGACAAACAGTGGCGTTTCAGGAGAATATAGTGTAAGCGTCGCCATGGGAACTCTCAAAATGACAACTGAGTTCTTTATTCAGCGATGAAACGAGAATATAACATGCGATGATGGTATTTTGCAAGTTATTTATTGCAGTTCAAATAGAATTATGCGCGGTTTTAAATGGCTTTTATAATAAAAAAATTATGCAATAAATATGATTTAACTGTTTAGAATTAGGCATAATTCTAAAGCACCGACAATCAATAGTACAAATTTGATGTTTTCAAACCCACTTCTAGTAAAATCAGATTCAAGCCTTAAATAACCGCACTAAAACCTAATACATGCATACACACATATCTACATATCTCTGTATTAAAAGTACAGGACAGAGGAACAGGAACCAAATAGCATAACGCCGTTATATTGTGCAAGCAGTCCCCGATTAAGACAATTAGACAAGATCATTCGACTCTCAACTACGTTGCATGACATCACCATCGATACCTAAAGTCCTCTGCAGATCCAGAAACACCATACAGTAAACTTTATCAGGCCATATTGCTTCCACTAACGTCTAATATGCTTTCTAAACTCCGCTTTCCAATTAAAAAGACATAATCAATTACATTGAACACTTTGACGACCACAAATAAAGAGCCATACGACGCATCACTCCATAAAGCAAAATGGTGCCCTACAACAACCAGGACTGCTTCAATCTGTTGACCCAAAAAAATCAACCTTGACAAATTAGAGACATGGTCAGAAGCCAACAATTCTACGTTTAAAATCTCCATGTATCCTCTAGCTTCGGGTTAGTTATGATCAAAACGCTTACCAGGAGCTCCCAACCAGCAGACCCTTCTGGAAAGTGTGCTAATCCGTGCGTCTGCAAACCCTCATACATGTTACAAAGAAATTTCAATGACTTCCCAAAGATAACTTCATCATCTCTATCCTGGAATAGATTCCTTACACTTTCTCCGAATTCACTAGGTGCCTAAATAAGGAGACACAATTGGTGGCGAAAATTGAAAAAAGAAAGAAGTAAAATTTGAAGCCAAACTACGGATATCAAGGAATGCCTTGTGAACAAATGAACAAAATGAGTCGATTATTCCAAAACATCGTTAGTCCAAGGGAAAAAATAAATGACCCAAGGTTCGGTGGAATAGAAATATTCATTAACTGATCGATAAGCATTACACCAATGAACTTATCAAATAAAGAGGAAACAACATCAGCATAACATGAAGTCGAATTTGGGGAACAACACAAATTGCGGTAGTCTTCTATGCATGCAACAGAGAACGTCACGCGACTTAACAAAAATTAGTTGAAAGCACAAGCCGTAAACACCTATTGAGTGTGTAGAACAAAACTGATTGAACCCTCCGCGTCATCAAAGAGGAACGTGATGCTTCAGTCTGTGCTTAGTGTAATATCAGAAGGCAGGCGTGAACAATGTACAAACACAATAACCGAGGCACCGGATACGAGGATTTGCGAACTAATTACCTCCGACATTATCCGACGATTAGTAGAATAAAAGCAGCCTTGTCTGTATTTATACGATTTTCGCTTAAGTGATGGATAACATCATTTGCAAACGCGCTCCAAGTCTTACATAGAATAAATTATTTCATGCATAGAAAAAGTGAATGCATACCTTACTTAGAAGGAGGAAGTCAATGCACTGGGCGTCACAAGACAAGTTCAGAAGCACCGTCAATACCTGACGCCGAACAGCTGGGCTTTGACTACCAATCAGTCCAAAGAGTTCTGGAGCATGCTCCCTCACTGACACGCAACTATCTTCCAGCATGGAGAGATTGCCCAATAACCGAAGAAAAGCTATCGATTCTTCCTCGTGTTGGAGAAATACTTTCATAGCACTGAAGCGCTTCATCTGAGTCTAGTAATGTCGTGAGTGGTACCAAAACCTCATTACAATTAAATGCTCTCGCACGGCGTCATCGACGAATATATTGGCGAAGAGATTCAGTACAAAAACGTTAATTGAGCGCGAGAAGTCACTGCTGTTTTCAAATGTAAGCAGCGAGGAGAGGCTGTTGAGAATATTGGGAGACCTGAACAGAGGCTTTACTGAGATATGTGTAAATTTCAAGGAACATACCAGGTTTGTATTGAAATTGCTCATTTGAAGTATAGTCTTCATTATTTTAGAGGACACTGTAGTAGACGACGTGGGTATGAGGGACAGTAGACGTTCGAGTACCTCGGGATGGTTATGATCGATGGGGCTTCTGTCGCTCAGACAAGGAATTGGTGTTGGCTGCACATCCAGTTGTTCTTTGCTGTTCGTCGGACTAGCCGCAGCATTATTTTTTGATGCTTTTCTAGTGCAACGGGATTGTGATTCATAAAAATGACGGCAGGCAAAATACAAGCCCAAAGTACCAGCAGCGAATCCAGTCAAGCCAAGAACGTAAATCTGTACTTGCGGCATTAGCGCACCTACAATTAAATTAGGATTTCTTTTTCAAAGCCATCATGAACGCTTACGCGTTATCGTCCGATAAACGCAGATTAAATGGGTTATAAGGATCCTTTATGGGGTACATGTATAAAATTTCTTTAACTTGATTTACTTTGCCATCGTGATTGCAAATGCGTGGGTTCATATGGAGAAATTTAGCTGCCTTTTGCTCGTTGACATTAAATATGAGTGCAAATTCGTGTGAATCACCAGTAAAACTAATTTTAACCCTGAAAAAGGACTGAATGCAAGAGGAAAACACTTCACCCAAGCTTACCACATTATTATCACTTTCAGAAGGCGAATGTACGCTAAGTGAGCCAAATATAAAATAAAGAGGTCACTAGGAAGACATGAACAGGAACATTACATCGCCAATCTCTAAAACATAAGTGGCAAAAAAAGAAGCTGAATAAGAGAATTACACACAATCTGCATAGATGAATGCATAAAACATTAAATCGACAAGCACCCGATAAATCCGATATTTGTTGGGACGGTTAGATCTTCAGTTGCATCAACAAACAATTTACACTAAGACTACTAAAAAGAGATGTGGCAGAAAGTACATTAATAAAAGAATCCAAAAATGCACCAGCAATTTAATAAAAACTGGTGATGCGGTGTGGTGTGACTGTGGTGTGGTGTGA